CCCAACAACCCGCTGCCTGCTCCCAGCTGGAATTATGATAAAGAGCCAGAAAGCTGCAGCTTTTTCACGACGCCCACTTACAACCTGCTGACTGGAAACAGCCCGGAGGACTGTGCGTCTGCACTACGCCTGAGAGCACGCGTCCTCGTGGATACTTACTTAAAATGATGTGCGTGATGACGAAGGCGAAGATGAAGATGGTGAGGAAGGAGAGCGAGAGGATGAACATGTAGAAGAAGCGGTAGTTCCTCCTCCCCACGCAGTTCCCCACCCAGGGACAGTGGTGGTCGAAGCGCTCTGTGTGGAGAGGGAGAGACGCACACGTTTATTCTGGTTTCAAGGACAAGCGCACCTAACGTGGCGTTCCTCCAACGCGTCGGTAAAACTGTAAGACATCACGTTTCTCATGGAGCACAGATGTTCACAAACAGGTCACTTCAGTGCAGATAAACAACACAAATCCTGAACTGTGGGAAACTGGGGGGAGGGGACGTGTCCCTCTGGGTCTTGGCATAATAATATAAAACATTTTCACAAAGGACAACCTTCCTATTTATATAACGAGCTAATAGAGGAATGATGTGTTTCTTACATGACTGAGTGAAACGCTCACTGCCACAGTGGGACGAGGTTAGAGCAAGAATGTTTGAAATCCACTGCTTGAATAATTTTTAGTAATTTTTGATAAACTGCTCTGTAATTCTTCATGTAGTTTGAAACCTTCAGCTGCTGGTGAAATCCTCACCAAGTCAGCCGGTGACATTTTATTCAGCCAAACTGAAAGCAGCTCCAGGGCACCAATCATGTCACTGATTGCTGTTAGAGCTGTTACTTCATCAGTGCCACGTCTGAGTGTGGAGCACTAGCTGTGCACAGTGGTAGCCCCTTAACTAATTAATCAGAGCCATTATTGGTTTAGTGAGATGACATGACCTCGTTTTGTCTCCATGAATCAACGCCTGGTTAAACCGGCGCCTCCCTTTAGACAATCACTGTAAACACTAACAGTAAAAGCTGCCGATCACAAAGTCTGCCCCCGATCGTTACCGTCAGGTGACCGATGATTGTGGAAGAAGGAAAAACATGGTTTATATGGTAATCGTGGGCTCTTTGGCTCGAGGGATACCACAGGGTTGCGACACTGCTTTTTCAAGAGTGTTTTCAGATCTAAATAACATAAAAACAAAAGTTAAAATCCATCCTCCATACACGACTTGACTCTCTTGATCATCTCTGAAAATCAAATTTAGAACTTAAAAATTCAAAGAATCTGCAGAAATGCAGATCCCAGCGCACGGAACAATATTCTGCAGCGATTAAAGGACGAAGCGTAAAATAAGCGTAAAAACCTTTACACTTTATAGATCAGGTGGAGACAACGGCTAACACAAGATGAGACGGCAGTGATATTAACCTATAACAAAACCTAAATTACTGGATCGGATATCGGAGAGAAATAAAAAATGTAATCCGATCCATTAAATATCACAAAAGCACCTCACAAAACTTGCGACACGGCGTAACTCAGCTCATAACCGTAGCACGTTGGAGCAGTGTGGTCACGTGATAGAGCGCTGTGGCGTGCGAGACCTGTCGGCGGTCTGGTTGAGTATTTGTAGCCTCGCTACCAAACCGGCATTTCATCTCCAAGAAACTTATCCCAGAGAGAAGTAAAGCAAGTGTGTAAGTTCATCTCTGAATGTTTGTAAAGCATTGCAGCTTTAAGCTTAACAACCGATATATGGAGCGACTGCCTCTCTCTCTCTCCTGTTGCTACTTCAGTCATGAAACTGATCAATGATCAGCTGATCGTCTCTCTCGTTTGTTTATCGCCCACTTTGCACCAGAAAGAGGAAACCAGCGGCTGAACAACAGCAGCACGTTTAAGCTTGATCAGCTGTTGTTAGAATTTATTTAATATTATTTCTACACCAGGATCTTTTTCTACAGCTGACGTAACTGTGCAGGGGCGGAGCTAGCAAAGTGTAGCCAGGGGGGCCGATAGGGCATGAACAGGGAAAAGGGGGCACAAAGACATACTTTTCTTTCTTATTCTCATTTAAAATGTCGAGCTTTTAATAAATAATTATCTGACTCTTACACCCAAAGTTTTAATCTGATGTAAAATATATAGAAGTCCATTACTGTATATAGTAACTGTTAAGTCTAATATACCCTAGTAAGCTGTAGTAATTTTTCCTTTGGGTACCATCTGTGCAGTCTGCAGTTCTGTTGAAGAAAGATGTTCAAACTATTTAATTATTATAGAAAAATTATTGATTTCTGTGCATTATGGGTTTTTTTTCTTTCGTGCATTAAATTAAAGTTGATTACGTCAATTAAGCATCACGAGGCGGAGGGTGGGGGGTGTTTCCTTTTCTTCTTCTTTTTGCTGGGCAGTTTGCGACCCTATTAGTTAGGTTATTTAATATTTCCACTAAGTACTCTTTAACATACCAGAATAGGGAGGATGGTGCAGGTTTATTAGATTGATCAGTGTTGCTGAACTATGAAATATTTTGGTGTATTTTTGCATACAGGTGTAACAGGATAACTTTAGTTTTGCTTGGTTTTTTAAAACTTGAGTATCAACTTATACAAAATGCAGCAAGATATTTTTTAAAAACCTCTTTATTCATTATAAAACACACTATATCGGATTTATATCGGTATCGGCAGATATCCAAATTTATGATATCGGTATCTGACATTATAAAGTGGTATCTTGCCCTCTTTTCTTGTTTGTTTTGCTTACGTAGTAATGTCAGTTCCCTAATGGGGTCATTAAAACTGCATCTAACAAAAGAAGCATCAGAAAAAAATGAATCCCAGCAAACGATCCTGAAGTCCAGCTTCCACAGCATCCACTCACAGCTCAAACACAGACCCCACTGTACACACTGTACAACAACAGAATACGACTGCAGGGGAAAGGAGGTGGCATCTGTGAGCTTCACTTTTATAAGCTTCCTCTATGACTCCCGAGGGGATAGCCCTCTTAAAAGGAAGTGACTCTGCCATCCTATCCTCCGCTTGCACCAGGGAGGGCCTATCCATTCTGGCTCCTTACTTATTTAAGAGCTTGTTATCCCCCTGGCTTTTAGAGCAGCGGCGGCGGGGAGCGAGAGAGTCGAGAGGCAGGGAAACACTGCCAGAGTAATCCCCATTTACAGTTTAAGAATAAACGCCAGTCGAGAGACCAAAAACCACAAAAGTCTTATCAGACCCGTGAATAGTCATCCAGCTCCCAAACCATTTTTCCTCATTAGTCGGGTGGAGGCCGAGAGCTTAGAGAGCAGCCTGGAGAGTCGCGTTTATCACCCACATCCACCTGCAGCGTGGAGCCCAACTCTGTCCCGTCTCACTTCCCTCCATCTGTGACTCACGTCTCACAGCTGGAACCTAAACAGCGTGTTTAGAATTCATAACCATGATCTTTATGAGCGGCGCTGCTCTGTGACCATGTTTGGTTTGGCGAAAGCTTTTTGATTCCATTTTCCGCTCATTTACTTCGCTGTGTGTTTGTGTGTTTTTGGGCCTTTTCTGCTACGTTTCACAATTTGATTGCGTGCATATAAAGTGCACACATTCATTAAAACGTGCCCCTCTGTTTGCCAGGATACCTGCCCTTTTATCTCTGCGCTCAGCTTCCAATCTTCCTTCCTGTCAGCGTGCATCTGTCACATCTGCTTACCGCCACATCTTTTCCCCGTGTTTACTACTTCCTCATCTTTGTCTCCCAGGTTTTCAGTTCCTCTTCTGACAAGGAAACAGACAATACAAAGACTGAGCCGTCTCTGAAGAGTGAGGCGCACAAAAGCCCAGATGAGACAGATACCGACACAAAGGTCTCTGCATCTCTGTCTCCATCTTTTACTAATTACCTTGCTGTGCCTCGGTTCTCTCAGGAGACGCAGCATGTGGTTTTATAGAGCAGCAAAACCATCTCAGATGGTTGGTCTGTGGATGCCAAACACCTCCAACCACACAGTATCTGCTGTATATTCCCAGAAGGCCTGCATCACTAGCTAAACATTTATATATACAGGTGCAAAACTGTAAACTGATCGTAAAATCATTTTGAACCAAACAATTTCCAGGATACTGTTGGAAAAAACAGGGTTTGGTCTGAGTCAGAGGACAGCAGAAGCTGAACAGTTTGCTTTTATCCTCGTGTGTCAAGCCTCTCCTTTTTCATGTTTGTGTCTCTTCAGTTCACCAGGAACTAAAACAGCCTGGTTTTCTATACAGAGAGAAAAATGAGGACTGGGGACAAAAACACTAAAACAACAACAAAAAAGGAAGAACAGGACTTCCACTGCTTCTAAGTCTCGTCTATAATGACGTGAGAGAAAAGGCAGTTGGAAGTGACTTGAGTTAAATTTAAAAGAATATCCCAGAGACCTATTGCTCAATCCCACACAGGCACACAGCACAGAACAGCTGTTTTACAGCTCTCTGATGAAACACTTTGGCTTTAATGAAACATCTTTACCTTCCTAAACTATTATTTCTTCTCTGCAGGTCGTAAAACTCCAAAAACACTTTAATGAAACTCGATCTAGTTTTGTTGGGGTAATAACATTTTTTACAAAGTGATGATTTGACCTTTTCACACATTGCTGCCCAGAGACAGCTTCCACATCTCACTTTAAACCTACATTCCTACTAATAGCGACCAGGGGGCATGACAGTGGGGGGGGGGAGACCAACAACAACAAGCTTGAGTTGTTGGACCCGAGTTCATGAGATCTTTCACTCACTTCAGGTCTTCATTTCTTTTTGTAGAATTTAATGTTCAGGGTAT